TATATGTTTTGGTGATTCTACAGAACTTGGGTATACTCAAAAAGGATCTAAGATGAATTTTATATAAACTTCTAAACTTCAGCTTATGTAAAACTAGTTATTTTAAAGATAATAGTTTTAGAGGCATTTGATGTAAAGTGTGTATATGTTTTATTTTACTTTGTTTTTAGAGAACATGTTGGTGGATCTGTAGAAACTAAGTTTGCTCTAAAATGAGTTGTTTTCAATTTGTTATAGATTTTACAAGTTTACATGTTTTTCTGTTGAAAATATAAAGCTTTAGGCATTTCATTTAGATTTTTCCAGAATTTAAATAGATTGGATCCACAGGTCAGTCTCAGACCAATATGCAAAAAGGCCCCTATGGTTTTAGGAAATCAACTCGCAGTCCTGTGACTGTTCTGTGTGTGAGGTAGGTTTTACAAACTAGTACCTAGAGTTTTGACTCTTCTCAGCAGAGGTCCTTGGTTTGAGCAGACACAGAGCTAGCCATGGCCGAGCTCGTTCTCGAGCTCGCCGGTGGCAAACGGCGGCAGATCTCGGTGTGCAACATAAGGATAAAATGTAAAGGGGTTCAAGGCGAGGCTATAGGTGGTATTTTTGCAAGCATTGGTCATCGGAATTAATGGCGACGGCGGCGCGAGCGGCGGTGGTTCTCGGGTGACGGTGCATGTGGAGCTAGAGCATTGATGCATGTGCCTCTATGGGATCCTAGGATGCTTACCGAGCGTCCAATGAAACTTGGCGAGGTCCAGATAGCGATGACCACGAGCAGAACGACTCGGCGACGGCAGGGAGCCTCGCTCGATGACGACGCCGGCTTGATATGGCTGATGATCTACCATGCATGCATACACACGGTGTTGAATAGGTCTCAGGAAAGCTTTATGCCCGAGGAATTGAACTGTGACTCACCGGAGAGGGAGAAATCGAAGGTGGAGCTTGACGGCCGGAATTGGGGAAGACGATGCCGATCTCCAAGCTCGCTGCACCACTGGCAGGGGTTCATGAGGGATTTAAGAGAGGACACCGAGGAGATGTTGATGGTGCGGTGGCTCGGCTCGGCTTGCTCCGGTTCGACGGCAACGAAGACGATGTCCCGATGGCGGCGCCCAGTGCGCGCTCCAGAGCATCGTCGGCGAGGTTTGCGTTCCCACCAAACCACTGCATGAAATGGGATGAAACTTAAGAGGGATGGAATCGGCGTAGAGAGGCGATAATGGAACGCAAGAGAAGAGGAAACGACCGCGGCACAATGGTGATGGCGACGGCCATCGTCTTCACGGCCGGCGACAAGGTCGAGATGAAAAAGAAAAGCTGGAGCTCTCCCCCTCGGTTTGCTCGGCTCAGGAGTGGTAATGGGGAGGAGGCGATGCAGCTGGGTGGAGGTGAAGCCTCGGTTCGGCGCTGCCACGTCGAGGCCACGCGTCGACGCCGTCCAGTGCCGGTCGGCGCCCTCGGTCTCTCTCTCTCTCTCAGCTGTCACTGTGTTGGATGGAGGAGATGCACAGGGTGTGGTTCAAACCAAAGAGGCTGCCATGTGGGCCCAGGTCAATGTAAGCTAGGTGGGAGTCTGAGGGATGGGTAAGAAACTGGGTGTTGATTGATTTTTGGACGATTTTCAGATTAATTCTCTCCCTCCAACTTTATATCTCAATATTTTAACGTGTGAAGCATACAAATTAGTGCGGGTTTTTCTGAAGGTAGATGAATGTAGCTAGTTTCTATTTTCTTTGGTTGCACTTAAAAATTATAAATAGATTGCTCACAGAAAATAGGAGAAGATGGGCTCGATAGAACATTGTTTGAATTTAGAAGACCTAAACTGAGAGGATAAATTCTGGAAAAATTATATTTATTCATGATTTTCCCCTATACACTTCCATGCAGTTAAATGCACATTTTAGTTATGTATGGTTTTAGCTGATTAAGAATTATATTTAGTCTATTATTTGACAAGTTTGACTTGTTTATTTAAGGTATCAAATTTAGTTATTAAATTGTACCAAAATTACAGTGAGTTGTATATATTAAGTAGAGCTTACATAAATTTTCCCATCATTTTATCTTGCACGAATTATTTTAGATAATTAGCGATGCTTATCTCTTTTATGTGTTTCCCTTTTCCTAAATGCATGTAAATGCTTATAAAAGTTTTATTTGGACTCTTCTTAACCTGAGGTGATGTTGATATGGTAGAATTACAGTTTACCTTACATAGGTCGTAAGCTCCTTACCTATTTATGCATAAGTTTACTTTAATATTAAATTAAGAGGATGCTTATAGAGATGATTAAGATAGAATATACCCTATATGAGTTAATTTATTTGTTCACTTTCATGTTCATGACATGTCTTCAGATGGATGACCAAATTAGTTTTGTGAGGCTTGACATTAACCATGTTGATATATTTTAAGGTGTACGGTTCCTATTTTAACTTCCTCTAGCTAGCACTAAGCCCTAATGGTTTAGTTGTTTATCGTTAATATTCATGAGACCTATTATGAAATGCAAATCGAAAATCCAAATGCATATGAAGGACTCAAGTCAAACATGTCTATGAGAGTATGCATATGAGAGTATGCATGCTTACACAGAAGTTTACATTTTGTCCTAGGTTATAAATGAAAAAGTTTTAATTTGTTCTCAAATTTTATTCATGCAAGAGTTAGATCAACTTCACCTAGGTTTAAAATGGAAATTTTTGGCTCTCAAAAATAGAAAAGTTAGCTTCCAACTATTTTGACAGGAAACTTTTAAAGTCTAGAACTTTGGGTATGTTACACATATTTTGTAATTCTCGGGTATAAATAGGCCTCGAGCCCCATGTAATCAAACTAACACACGTTCAATACAATCTCGGCGCATCGCCACCCTTTTTACTTTCGTTTTGTTTCGACGAGTTTTTGCTTTCGGGTTGAGCTGCATCGGTTTCGATCTTCGACAAGAGGTAAAACTTGTTATGACGGCTTGCATTCTCAGGATTAGTGCTTCCATCTTCATGACACTCTAATCTTGTTTATGTAATTCGTCGAGTTATCATATATCTTACATAATCTCTGGCAATATCGCTATCTAACCTATAATCAGCTAACATCTGTCAGTAGAAGGCAGCCGATTAGGTTAAATACCGATGTTGACTTAGATTATATAGGATATCCACCACTCTATGACACATCCAACGGCTTGATTGTCTAGATATTGTTCTTCTTTTCATACTTATAGCTGTATCAGTTGAGTTTGATCTTATGAGTCGTGATTAGAATCTCAATCTCTAGCCTGCCTTTGGTTGCTGATTAGGGTAGCATCGGGGTTTCAGCCGATCTTACCTGATTTGACTATATTTGTCTTATGTGCTTAGTTGACATGTTAAATCTGCCCTTTATATTAAGATCTTGTTGCATTTAAGTAGATTAGGCTTCTGTTTGGTATATTCTATTTGCTTTAACATCTTAATATAGAGTGGTATCGGAGTATTAGCCGATACAAGCTAGATCTATCTGATCGGCTATGCTATGAACATATATACTCTCAATGTTAATATTTATTTCGATCTAAGTGATTTATACTGTCTCGGCATGGCGACCGATCTATCCCAATCACTTGATTTAAGTATATATCAACGTAAGGATTATATATTGTTAATATCTACAGCCGATCGAGTAGATTTAGTTCTTTCTTACTTGTTAATAATTGCAGATCGATGCAAATATGATATCGGCTCAAAGATAAATGATATGTCATCGGCACCTAGCTGATCGGCTATCGTTTATGGATTTAACCACGGTTTCTTTGTCTTCGTTTCTTGTTGATTGCAGGATCAAATCAACTGGCACGCTCATACACCCAAAGGCAAGTTTTGGACCTGCATTGGAGTTAAGCAGATCTCCCAGGCCTCGTGTTTTTACATCAACACTATGACTATAGAACTTGCTAGACATGAGTATGGTATTGAATTGAGGTGTTGTAGAGCTCATGCCTTTTGAGTCAAGTTTACTGAATGTATAATACATCTGGTCGCCACCTTCGAGTGATTTGAAGGGCACATGCCATGCAGAAGTTGATTGGCACGCGTGAGTCCCAGCAATATCCTTTGTGCTTAATATTCGATACCATGTAAATTATATTGAACGGTGTTTGATTATGATCATGGGGCGCATTGAGACTTGAGTGGCTATTATGCGCGTATGGATTGCACTCACCCGAAACCATGTGAAGGTCACAATAAATACTGGACGGTATAATTCTTGGCATGCTGGGCAACCCAGCCCAGTGAAAACGCAAGTATTTATTTGCTTTTGTTTGTGAAGGGGGGACCTCATTAATTTAAGCATGATTGATCAATTGCCATGCATGCATATCATGCGGCAACCGAAAGGGGCATGTCATAGTAGCAAGTACATGTTAGTGATAAAAGTATATGGTTGTTAAAGATGTATTAGGAATGATTGATTTGTATGTATTCTTTTCTTATCTGTAATCCTTCCTTATATCCTTCCCATGTACTCTTATATATACCGGCTCCTAAGACTTAATACAGCGTGTCTAATATTCGTAGTATCTTCCCCTCTCCCTATACTATACAGTCAGGTTGCTCATCGGAGATGATAGTTCTGACATGTCATTTTGCCAGTAGTTCGCTCTAGTCCAACCATATCTCGAACTAACTTCGTATTCTCAAATTCAAAAACACGAAATTCAGAACGCACAACTCCAATTTCACTGGTGTGCACGTACGTACCCTAGCGTCGTCACTGGAGAAAATATAGGAGAAGATAGAGCAGCGCATGCAGCAAACTGCTCCACGCGCGCTTGGCGGTAGCCCGCATATGCGTGCACGTTCCGCCATGCATGCGCGCACAAATCTATAGAAACAAATTATACCACAAATTATACCGTACCGGATGGTGATTCTACATAATCCTCAAGGTTTTCTCAAAACTCAACCAATCCAGGCAAATACTCCATCTCGATCGGCTTCTGTGTTCTAGATCAGCCATGTCGAAGAGATCTCGATCAGCCATGTCTTCGGCCGGAGAGGAGGTCGAGGCAAGCACGCTCATCACCCTAAGGGTCAAGGACAACGAAGGTGTCAGGATCACCTGCACGATGCGCAGGACGGACAAGCTGCGCGTCCTCATCGGTTTCTACCTCGACATGGTGACGCCGACCGACAAGGGCAAGGGCGCCGCCGTCGCCGCCGCCGCCGGTGGTGGCGTCTTCATGCACTACGGCCGTTGTGTGACCGGCAACCGGACGCCGGCGGACTACGACATGGAGGACGGCGACGAGGTTAGCTTCTTCCCCGACGGAACTAGGACCATGCCCGTCACCCTCACCGTGAAGGACAACAAAGGCCGCCGGGTCACACACACCATGCGTAGGTTGGACGTCATCTGCACCCTGTTCCGTCTCTACTTTGACATGTTGCCCTCGACAGCGCCCAGGGAAGGTGTTTTCATGTACAACGGCAGGGAGATCAGTTTCTATCAGACGCCGGAGAAATGTGACATGAACGACGGCGATGAGATCACCTTCCATCTGTTCAGCAAGCCGAGCACCTTCGTCACCCTCACGATCAAGGGCAGCACCGACGATGGCGGCCGCAGCGGCGTCGTCGTCACCCGCCCCATGCGCAGGACCGACGAGTTGCAGCGCCTGATCGATTACTACTTCGCCATGGTGCCAACTGATGATCAGAACGGCGAGTGGGCGGTCACGTACGGTGGCAGGCAGGTCGGCGGCGAGGAGACGCCCGCGGATTACGAGATGGAGGACGGCGATCAGCTCCGCCTCGTTCCGGCGAGCAAACCGAGCAGGTTCGTGACCATCGATTTGTTAACCATGGTGAAGGCCAAGCGCACATACACCCTGCGAAGGACTGACAAGCTGCAGGGTTTGATGGACCTGTGCTTAAGCAGGGAGCCTGCAAGTATGTACAGGCATGGGTGTGTTTTAATTTACGAGGGCCGTCGTGTTCAGGACTCGCAAACTCCGGATGATCTCAAACTGGAGGATGGTGATACAATCCACGCTATAGCCCGTCAGGTCGGATAATCAAAGCAGGAGGATGGGGAATTGAGGATACCATCCAATTTTTATGGTCGGTTTGGTTCATTGGATGTACGTCAGTACGTGGATCAGATTAGTCTAAAACTCTAAATGAAGGTTACATCTCATAAAATTAGGTTCTAGATTCTGGTTTACAAAAATGTTGCTTCATTTTCCAGTATTTGTTATTTTATTATTGACATTTTTTTGCGAGGAATTTTATTATTGACATTGTTCTGTAATGCATCTCAACCAAATGGTTTTACCTATCAAGTGTTCTAGAAAAATGAAAATGGATGGAGCGGGGGGCTACTCCACTGCTCTATTTCAGACTCTGTTCATAGTTATATATAGTAGTTATCTATACTAATATAAAAAACACAAGTTCATCAAACACCTATCTTTCCTGACTTTTAGATCTATTCATCCAACGGCTTATATCAAAAGTTGGATCAACCTCTGCAATTAGCCATCCCCAAGTTCGATTAGCAGCGGTTATAGCGATACAGCGATCGAAAAAAAAAACTTCTCTCCCGTGCGCTAGCCCGTCGCCGCCTCCCGGAGCCGCTCGCCGCCTCCTCGCACGTGCCCGCCGGACCGCCAGGCGCCGCCGCCAACTCCGAGCGCGCACCCGCCGCAGCCGCGCCCCCTACCCCGCCGCCTCCTCGCGCGTGCCCGACGCTCGCCCTACCCCGCCGTTGCCGCCTCCTCGCGGCCGCCAGTGAGCCAGGTTCGCCGTCGGCTGGCGCCTTCTCCACCACCGCCGCCGCCTCCTCGCGCGTGGCCTCTGGAGTTCTGGGCTCGCCGTCGGCCGGCTCCTCCTCGCGTGCGCCCGCCGGGGAGCTGTGGTGGGTTACGGCACTACGCAGTACAGACTCCAGGTTAAGGTGATATCCTCTCTTCCTAAATCCTCAAACAATAAAGATTTTGTGCTTTTATTATTTTGGGGTCATAAAATTGTTTACCTAGGGTTTGGGCAGGGTTGCTTATGATACGGGGCCCCAAATGTTTAGTCAATTGGTTCTATCGTCTCGCTATGTTATTTGCTCTTGTTTAGGAGATAATTTTACTTGCTATGAATTCTGCTTGCTAAGCATCTCACAAGTATCATATCAGTCATGCTTCCTCAGGAAATGTCTAAAAACATGGTGGACTACTGATCACACAAATTTATTCTACAAAGCAATTATTAGTTAATTACCTAAGGACTTGGCTGACTGCCGATTACCGATTATAGTGTAAACGATAAGCATCAGTTGTGGCAGTGCACATAATTGAATAAACAAAATGCCCAATGCCCCTAATTAATCTGAAAGCAATTCATCAGTTTAATAAATTAAGTTGTGGGATGCAGATTGCAATTAGTGTTTGGCCGTCAGGCATCTGGCATTAATTAGCATTCGGCCATCAGGCGTCTTGCATTCTGGTTGCTTGCTTTGCCTATTTGATTGGGTTGGATCAGGGGTCCAATGTGATTTGGTCCGGGGGTCCCACACTAAAATTATACATAGCCTATAGGTTCCACAATGTCATTAACCAAAGCACTCGCCTTTCCCATATTCAAGTGGATCCCCATTGATCTAGCTTGGCAAATCTTACTACACTATTTCGTTACCTCGTAAGTATTAAGTTCTTTTATGGAACATATTTTTAGATTTAATTCCAATGATAGGCTTGAAGATATTTTGCACTTTTTTACTTATTGGAGTTGATGTGATGGAGCTAACATCAGCTGGAAGTCACCTTGAAAATGGCACATTTTGTGTCTTGCCCATTAACTGTCAAGTATGGCACAATTATTAGTGTGTTTTCCCCTTTCTGCGGTGCAGGGAGACGCATATTACATATGTATCCCTCTATTCTCTGGATCAAAGAGTGCAGAGGTCCTTCAATTGCATTCTAAGGGGATAGGGTTCATAATTGAATTGTTTAGTGATGTTTGCAATCTCACAAACTCAAATGTCGTTAGCCTCTCTTGAAGACAAGAACCATTAGTCTCATAAATTATCAGGTTTGGATTTTAGCAGTTTTAGGTTAGATTATAATTCCAGATTAAAGTGAAAATGATGAAAGTTATACATTAAAGATTTTGAGTGAAAACATTACCAGATTTTTTTTCTCCAATGGAATGTTAATTGTTAAGTGCAATATATATTCTTAATTAAAGTTGTGTGCATAGATGACCTGCCAACAATACTATCCCGTATTGTTCAATCCATTGATGATTGAACTGGATGTCAACTCCATGTCCTCATTGTCTTGCCAGGCACAGGGAGGCAACAATCCAATACAGGAGAGATAGGATGGGATCCCAGCTCAAGGGAGCCCTGGCGGCAGCTACGGTCGGGAGGACCTAAGCCCTACAGGCAAGCTCTATAATCAACCCCCTTTTGCTTACCGGCGATAAGTCAACCAACTTCCAGTGATGCAGGTACTGATCCTCTCCTCCCTCCCTCTCCCTCCCTCTTTATCACGACATTAGCTGATTGATCACCAGCTTTTTATTCCGATTGCTCCAGTGAACTTTGTTCACAAAATAGTGTTTTTTTCATTTTCTGATGCTTGTGCCTATCGTGTGACTCCTCCACCGACTTGTACATTGATATCTGCCCAACTGATTGATGAAATGATCGTTTACATTTTTTTTTGTTCAGTCAATAGTTTCTGATCAGCTTGGAGTGGTCCGTGCCATGTTGCTGTGATAATGCTACAGGTTAATCCTCCTGGCTCTCTGTACTGAAACAATTTCTCTGGATCTCTTTCCCTTTTGTTTTGGACCTTATACAACCTGCTGTTGGCTAATAATGACATTCATGAATAATAGATCATGTTAAAGCTGTTTGCATGGTCTGCTGTTGTCAAATAGTTTTATGCAGTCACAACTCTTATTAAATGATCAAGTTGACTTCAAGCATTGGGCTAAAAACTAAGATTATGTAAGTTAAATAACATATATGCCGTCATCTTCAATTTAAGTGATATTGTGTCAATCTTCTGATCAACTGTTTACATCTTCGGATTATATAGATTCATGTCACCTGTGTATGTCTTCGGAATTATCTATGTTTATGTTACTGTGTATGTCTTCAGATTTATATATATTTAGGTCACCTGTGTATATCTTGAGATATTTCGTAATTGCATATTATTACAGATGGCAAAGATGTTTAATTCTATTTTTTTATTGGATATCCTTCAGCGATATGCCCTGCCCGGCCTTGTCAGCTAATATGCAATATCAGTTTTATGCCCTTGACATGGCATACATTCCTCCAGGCTGCACTCACTTACACTTTTACTGTAGATTGATAGGTTAATGTTCCATTGTCAAGGTGAACCAATCAGCTAATGATGGTTCATATAGTTATAATTTGAGTGCAACTATGTATCCACTATGATGTAGAATTGTGGGTATTTGCAATTTAAAAGGTATGCCACTTAGGAATCGACACTCAGGCACATGCACCTAGGCTTGATGGGTAAGTCTGGCCAATTTACATATGGGGAACACAAATTAATTTAATCAGTTATTCCAATTTATTCTTCTTTGTTTCTATGCACTGCAATGCCAATTTGAGTGCCTATCTTGTCATGCTATTCAGCATAATGTCTTGGCAGGCTATGCATATGTTCATGCTTATATATGCAGCATTCATATAAGTACGGATTAATTGGATTGCTTGCTTTGTCTAATGCAGCCTCACCATTTAATTTGTGGCGAGCACCTTAATTCCATCTTGCCATTATCGAGGGAGTATATCATATGCACCTAATTCTGTATATAGAGTATTTATTGACTAGGGTCTTGGAAATTTTTGAATTGCTGTCAGATGTAAGTTCCTCAGATTGATGATTTGATTACTTTCACAGCTAATACCATTGATCATAGCTAAACACCACTTATAGAAGTTTAATGGATTTTTATCTAAAAAGGGAAAAAAGGAAATTAATAACTGAAACTGCATAGTAGTACTATGATCTCTGAACAAAGAAATTTGCTGAGTTTCCTAGCAGCTGCTGGGTGCATTTTCCTCTTGTTATGTGTGCCTAACCTTGCATCCATTAAATTTCAAAAGTGCAAATAGAGAATTATTGCATGCATTCCTTTTATATCAAAGATTGGGATGAAATTTCCAGCTTAATCCTGACAGCCGCAATGTGTCTTGAGCAAAAGGAAGCAAGGCTGCAACTGAAACACGGTGAATAGTAAATAAAAATCTCGCTTTTAGGAAAAAAAAGGTGAGTCGTGCACAAGTGCTGTAATCTGGTTTTGGCAAATTTTTATCGAGATATACTACTCCGTCGCTTTGTTTACACAATAAACCTGAACTCTAGGTGTAGCAGCTTGAAGCATTAAAAAATAAGATGGCAGCAAACAGATGTTTGCTTTATTGGATTTAATACTTGGATATTCCACTGTGCTTCCCAAATTGAGCTGAATAAATAGCTTGACGAATTGTTCTCTTAACATGTCTCAGTTGTCCTTTGTATCAAATGAGCAGCATAATCCATTCATGGATTGTTCTTTTCCACTGGTGATACAGATAGTTACTTCTAATGTTTCATGGAAAAGTTCGAGCTACAGAAATTTCTTAAGCAAGCTTACGGATTGTTTCTGATGAGTTTAGCAACTCTATGGAAACAAGCATAAGTGCTTCTCATCTGACCAGTTCCAAGAGAGAAGTAGCCAAGTAGGTAGAACAATCCCAAAACTGCAAACTTATTTTACTGTATATATATACTTTCCTTTTTAGCATTTTCTGTAAAGTCCCAGTTCTGTATTGCAGTTGGCATGGTTGTGTTCATCGGAATATTGAATGTCAAATCGAAAGGAGGCGCCAACCTATAGCTATCAACAACATGGACACCATGGTTCAGATTCATAAATTTGGGGATCATGGATGTCTAGGTTCAGAAATTTTTGGATTTTAGGCAACAAATTTTGTAGAATTTCCAATTTAGAAAAACACATTTTGCATTTCGTTATAATGTAATAAAATACCAATTTACGTTTATTTGATGAATTATCAAAGCAACGCTTACAATACTTTTATTTTTATCGGTGCATGTGAGCTACAATGTATTAATATATATAGTTGTGCATCAACAATGGATGTGTTGTTCTCCAATATACTTCGCTTAGTATATATATCGACATGCCTTGTATGTGCACGCTCACTAGTAGCCCTAAAAAGGCCACATGTTTGTGCTTCATCATATATCATCACATAATTATTCCTGAACATTGCGCCACTGTCTCCACAACTTTGAGAGGCACATCAAATTTATCTGCAACTTTCCTAGACTACTATGCAACACCGGTGGATTGGTCTTCGCCAACAACTCTAAATTAATTGTGATATTTAAGTCATCTGGTTACTTTCTCCCGTTTGAACCTGAATTAGACAAATCATAAATTTTACATGCAAAGTTCAGTACATATTCACTATAAAGTCAGTACTAGAGTAAAATCAAAACTTGAGCAAAAACAGGATTTTAGGTCCAGGTACTGAATTGGACTTAAATTCCATGTCTCAAAACTAATTAAATCAGAAAAAAAAATTCATAACTTGACAACTTGAACTTGAGTATTCCTGAAAATTACTACTACTCATGAACTAGAGTTTTAGTTTTGCTCTATGAACTGTAGCAATCAGACAAATAGAGGGCTTACCACCGGTATCAATCCCACCTCTATGTACCATAGCTCCAGCCCCATCCTGATCTGACGCTTCTATATAACAAAAAGAAAGTTAATTCATTCATGTACTTGTAAAAATATCCAGTTATTTTGGGGGAAACATTTTCAGAACAAACAAGTACAACTTCTGATTTAATGATTCTGAACAAGAACTACTGCATTTTCAGATTTCAGAACTGAAGTTAAAATTCAGGACAAATACAAGTACAACTTAAGATTTTAGATTTCAGAACAAGCACAACTATATTTTCAGATTTCAGAACAAGCACTAGTACAAATTCAGATTTGATCTCTTCAGTTCATTTTCATGTTTCAGAACTAACGCTCGAAAATTGGTTTTGTTAATATACTAGGACTGATTTCAGAACTTAAATCACAACTCAGTTTCAGTACTTGAATTTCAGAAATCATTTGCACTTGAATTTCAAAAATAAATTCAGAACTTCAGTTTTTAGAAGGTATTTAGGATTTCAGGACATTGCTAGAATTGAGATGGACAGCAACATCAGATCTTGGGAAGAGGATCCTCTGATGTTACTGTTCACTATGATTGACATGTGAGCTCCACCACTCTCGGGCCCACATGTCAACCACCAAATCAGTAGGAAGTTATGTCAGGGGATCTCAATCCCAAATCTTTAACTAGAATACTCCTACAGTCACTACAACTTCAGTCGCTGCAGTTTCAGTACTAGAGCAAAATTTAAAACATGACAACTTAAATTCAGGCACCTAAATTTCAGTAGGTTTAGCTTAAATTGAGGAGTTGTTCATTAACTAGATTATGTACTGAATCAGAGCTTAGCTTCTGATTTCAATGATTTCGAAACAAAATTTCGAACCTGTGATTCACAACTTCAAATTCAGAACTTCGAATTTAGAACTAGCATTGTGCATTTACCGTACTCAACAGCAATGAAACCAGTATGATTAACAGCTCCTCCCTCTCCAGTCCTTGTTCGCCACGACACGTCTTACTTGACTGTAAAGTCTACCACCCGAAGACAGTGTACTAGTCTATGTACGTGTTGGACTCGTTCTTCTCCAGGCTTCCCTCGCTCTCTTTAATCTGCCACCATCAACAAATTAACTCTGCACTGTGCACACATATGTAAGAATCCTACTATTATCCTTTCCCCGTTTCCGACCAGGCTTTCCACAGAAAGCAGAGTAGCGAAGCACATGTCGCCGGTGAAGGTGTTCGGCTCGGCGCCGTTCACGAACGTGGCGCGGGTGCTGCTCTGCCTGGAGGAGGTCGGCGCCGACTACGAGATCGTCGACGTCGACTTCGGTGACAGGGAGCACAAGGGCCCCGACCACCTCGCCAGAAACGTATGTGTGCGCAGAGACAAGGATTCATTTCTTTCTTGCTTTCGACTAATTCATTAAAAGAGACAAATTATTGCCGAGTTGCAACTTGATTTTGTCGCTGGTGTTTCATCAGCCGTTTGGGCAAGTTCCGGCGTTCCAGGATGGAGACCTGATGCTCTTCGGTGAGTAATATACACATTTGAACTATCGAGCAAAAAGCATTCTCAGTTTCTCACGAATTCGCCTCAAAATAAAATTATTCAATCTTTGTGTTCAAAGAGTCCCGTGCGATTTGCCGGTACATACTGCGGAAGCACAGGGCGACGGACGAGGCCAACCTGCTGCGGGAAGGCGACCCCTCCGAGTCGGCGGTGGTGGACGCGTGGCTGGACGTGGAGGCGCTCCGGTACGAGCCCTCGGTGCACGCCGTGTTCGTCCAGCGGCGCGTCGTCCCGGCGCTGGGCGGGGAGCCCGACGAGCGGGTCATCGCCGAGAGCGTCGCGCGGCTGAGGGAGACGCTCGCCGTGTACGAGGCACGGCTGGAGGCCACGCGCGGGTACCTCGCCGGCGGCGAGGTGAGCCTCGCCGACCTGAGCCACTTCCCGTACACGCGCTACTTCATGGAGATGCCGTACGAGGTGCCGGTGTTCGGCGCGTACCCTCGCGTGACGGCGTGGTGGGAGCGCCTGCTGACGAGGCCGTCGGTCAGGAAGGTGGCCGCCATGATGAGCGGCGGCGAGGGTTGATACGTGTGCTGATGCTTGCTACTGTTTTCTTTTTCTTAAAAAAAGAGAATCATACTCTCTCATTCCCATAATATAAGGCATGGTCAAAATTGACACGGTCTTCAAAACTAATCTTTATCCTATAATTTCTCATATATTATAAGGTTTGTAGTAACAAAATATAACCATATGAAAGAAAATTCAAATGTCAATTCAATGATAAATTTTTTAGCAAGTAAATTCATATTGTACTAAATATTGGTCAAAATGTTTGAAAGTGAAATCTTGAAATACGTGGGTGTCTTATATTTTAAAATAGAGGGAGTAATGGAGAGCGTTTATATTTCTGGCCTCTGCACAGGATGCTTGGTACAGTATTGTCTATTGTTTGTCATAATGACTACTCTCTTCGTTTTTTAAAATATAGCAATTTTTAGATGGATGAGATATATTCTAATTAATACTATGAATCTAGACAGGGGCTAGCTAAGATATATCTCATCCAATCAAAAGTTGTTATATTTTGGGATGGAGATGGTGCTTATTACTATGTATACATGAATTATGTCCTTGTGATTAAGACAGTGTGTATACCTTTGCGATACTGGATATGTTTTCCATATCCTTGAGTTTTCACTTAATTCTTTTCGTGTGACTAAGTTTCATGTCAAATTTTTGTTTTGCCCTTCTACATATGCTCATTATGTTAGTTGACTTCGAGAGTTCGAGTGGGTTATTAACATTTTAGAAGTGATGAGCTGATGATATTGTATCTCGCTTATAATCATAGGTGCATGCTAGCCTCTGTGAAATTAGAGGTATGTCCGTGCAAATTTAGCCGAGACACATGTACAATACGAAAAACAAGGATCTATCTCAAAATATGGCGACATATTTTTAGGTAAAATATAACAAATATAATTATAGTTTAAATCTAGTGTAATTACATATTAAATTTAAGGGCTTACATATATATTTATATTGTAAGTGTCTAAATTATATATATAATTTAGACACTTACAATATAAATATACATGGTGATTATTTTTTATGAAAAATATGGTGACACATTTATAGCAAATCCCATCATAATATTGAGCTCCAGCTCTTAATAGGGATGGAAAGACTCGGTGTACAAGTCGACTGCAATACATAGACAACAAAATATAAGACATCTCATAAGTTAAGCTCTCGATATAACATCCGTACATTTCCCCGGCTTTCGCTTCCGTTGAACATTATTTGTTCTCCTTTATCTGAAATTCAGACGAATGCAATTATTTTTATAGTTTATTCATAACCAATTAAAAATATAATGGTTTGAAAATATTTTTCATGTTGAATCAACCAAATGCATATTCTTATATAAAAAAGTTTTTTTTGTGTGTCCATCAATTTTTCAAAATATTGGGTTGTCTAGCCGATAGATCGACTAATTGCAATTATTTAGTTCTCATTCCGTTCGATGCAGCTGCGGCATTGTTGTCTTGCTGATCCTTGAGCTTCTCGAACAGCTTGCGTTGCACGTGCTGCTTGAATGTGCGCGGCGCGAAGAGCGGCTTGTCGGCGCCGTCGGCGAGCAGCTCCGGCACCGGCTGCAGCAGCACGGACTCAGGCGGCGGCTCGCAGAAGACGACCCAGGAGAGGCGCACGGCGTCGCGGCTGACGAGGCCGCGGTGGAGCACGCTGGTGTACCGGCCGTTGGTGAGGATCTCCAGGGCGTCGCCGACGTGGACGACGATGGTGCCCGGCTCGGGGCGCGCGGTGACCCAGCTCCCGGCGTGGTGCACCTGCAGCCCCGGCACGCCGTTGTGGAGGATGAAGGAGAGCGCGCTGACGTCGGTGTGTGCCTCGACGCCGACGGCGAGGTCAGGCCGCGGGCACCTCGGGTAGTAGTTGATCTTGAGCTGAAGGAGCAGGTCGTCGTCGACGCCGGCCAGCTCATGTCCTCTCAGGCGGCGTTCCAGCGTCTCTTCCGGCAGGCCGAGGCCGAGGGAGAGGATGGCGAGCAGCTTGGATGCGAGGGTCCGGACGCGGCCGCCGAAGTCGCGCGACACGGGGACGTACTCCGGCGGGTTCGCCGGCCAGAGCGAGTGGTCGGCGAGGTGGTCCGGGTGGACGAGGTGGAACAGGTAGTCCTCCCACTCCCTCTTCCCGCTGGCGTTGGCGGCGAGCTTGCTGCCGTACCCCTGCAGCCGCCCCGCCGCCGGGTCGTTGGCGTACGCCTCCTTCTCCGCGATGGGCAGCGCGAAGAACGCCTCGCCCGCGGCGCGCAGGCGGCCGAGGACGTCGCCCGGGAGGCCGTGGCCGGCGATGTGTATGACGCCCCACTCCTCCGCCGCCGCGCGCACCGCCTCCACGCACGCGTGCCTGCCGTCGCCGTCGTTGTCGAACGCGGAGATGTCGACGACGGGGATGCGGGCGGTGGCGTCGTCGTCGGACGCGGCCCGGGCGAGCTCCAGGGCGTCGCCGAGGTCGGCGCGCTCCTCCTCCGGGCGGACGTACTCCGGCGGGATGGCGGAGACGCCGCTGAGGCTGAGGGCCTCCACTCTCAGCTCCACATCCGTCATGTCGCCCTCCCGAAGTAGGCTAGTAGATGAGCTGCGTGCGCACGTACTCGATCGGCGGCCGGTGATGGCGAGGCAGGCAGAGCGCGGGTAGATTTATACTCCGGCGCTGCCGCCGCTTTGCTCCATCCATGGATCGGTGCATGCATGTGTTACGTTTGTAGCTAACAACAACCAGCGGTGTCGGGCACGCGCGGTTAGCTCCATCCATCAATCACGTGCGCGTTCGTAACATTGGTTGATTGGTCCCTGTCAATAATGCCCCTGTTGTTTCTTAATTCAGATGATACGATCCGTATGTATAAACTCATTGCATGCTCGTTAGCCTATATAAGGCATAACAAGAATTTGACTTTTACAAGTTAGAAATTTAAATTGTAGAACTTATTTTGTAGTTGAATTTTTTCTATTGTTTTCTAGTTTCCAACCTTAATTAGCATATATTTGGACAGTGAAGAACGAAAGTTTAAAAGTCTTAAGCACCATTTCTACTATGTGAAACTATGATTGTGTACGCGCACGAGGGCATGAACAATATAGGCCCACTCCTATCCAATGGCCTCAAATAACAGGTAGGCGCTGAGGCAACACCTCTAAAAAAAACCTACCCTTTTGGGCACTTCTCATTTTAGTCCTCGTGCTTCTAAATTTTACAAGAAGATTTAAAATTTTACACTACTAGTAATCTGTCCGTGCTAACGCTACGGCACTATAAAATTTGTGTTAATAAATTATTAAATTCATGTTAATCAAATTAAATTTCCCAAATTCTGTCCATTTGATCCATGTCATATATGAAATATATTTAAGAAAAAGTACAAAACTATCACATTGTCTAAAAATTAATCAAAACCATCAGCAATTGTATCTACTCAGAATCATCTAGCAAATAGTAGTACTAAAAAGTCTGGAAAAACTAAAAGCTTCATATCACGGGTTTGATTTATCATCCACAGATTGCCATCCTAAAATACAATTCAACAAACTTATAGAATGTACAAGGGATATGACAAAAAAATATATTACTACCAGAGTTTTTTTTTTGTTTGGGAATACGCAAGGCACGCATATTTGTATTAAGAGAAATAAAGAGTATGTACAAGCGAAGCCAAACAAGAAAATTAGGAGGGGGATGCGAAAACAGGAGAACAATAAAAAGCTTAAGCCTATTCTCGCGACATCAGAAGGAAACGACCTAGAACAAGACCTAAATGGTTAGCACCGGCAGCACCTCGTGTGCCAACCGCCAGAGAGTCGCTTCCGTCATAGCTCGGGCTATCTCTGACCAGGGCCTTTGCTGAGAGTTGAAGACCCTATTGTTCCTCTCCTTCCAGATTGTCCACGCAGTAAGGGTTGCTATTGTATCAAATCCCCGCCTGCTAGCCCTCCCCACTTTAAGGCAGGAATTGTAGACCCAGAGATAAAAGGAATCTTCATTCAAGGGGAGAAACTATGGCAAACCAGTGCTGGAAAGGAGGACCCACCAAAGCTGATGAGACTCCGGACAGGCAACCAAGATGTGATCAATAGTCTCTTCATGTTGGTCGCAGAGCACACATCCATCCGGGTGAGGCAAACCCCTAGAACACAGGCGGTCCACCGTCCAACAGCGCCTCATTGCGACCAGCCAGGCAAAGAACCGGCATCTCGAGGGGGGGGAGTCTTCTAGATGGGTTCGGAGTGGAAAGGAGCCCTACCTAGAAAGAGTGCACGGGTATGCCGAACGTTAAGAGTAGACTCCCGATGCTTCCCACTTCCAAATGAAAGAGTCGGGGTGGTCAGAGAGCCGCACCGACGACCTCAGGAGACTCCAGAGTTGAAGATATTGAAGAATAGCTTGCAAACCCAGCGCTCCGGTGCAGTCTCTAATCCATCTCCGGTCTTGAAGGGCCTTGGCGACCGTTCTGCGACAGCGAAGCCGTGTTGGGACAGACGCCCAAACCGCCGGAGATATGTAGCGAATGGAGGAACCCTCCAACCAGTTGTCCTCCCAAAAAAGGATGGACTCCCCATTGCCCAAAACACAGACTGTTGAAACTACCAGAGATTAGATATGCACATCTAGACAAGGAGCAACGAGATACACACCTTCTTGCCGCTGATCAATGGTGCTTAAACACACAGAAATATTATAGCAACATGTAACAAAGATGCACACCTAAAAACATTGCTCGTACTTGCCGGCTCGTCAGCCGTCAGATGGTTAGGAACCAAAATCAATATTAACCAGTATTGTGGCCACTCAAACCGTTGGATTAGAAGGGTCACCACGTTTGCATCCATGACAGCTGACACCCTCCAATGAAGTTTCCCCTTGATGCAATCGACCACCGCAAGCAAGATACGGAGATATAGACTTGTCCAACACCACTGTGTCATCCTCATCTCTCACCTGTACTAATCCGCTCTTCATCCTGCTACCATCACAAAAGGTGGCTGCTATAAAAATAAATTAAACAGAGTGTGAGCTACAAAAGAATCCTTCGTAATAGCATCCGAAGAACATTCATCTCTAGAACTGTCACAAGTAAACCTCCATAGAGCATTTTTTGAAGTGTTGGGGCTATTGCATAAAAGTAAGGGTACACTTACAAATTTAATCGTACCTTCAAAAGGTCATGATCATTCCATGGCCCTCTGTTAGAAACTTAGAACCAAGGCAACACCATGACTGCATGCACATGGACCACGAATGAACTATGGCAATTTACTGCTAAAGAACAATATGTTTTCACGAAATTGGTAAGCTAAATAGATATTGTTGTATAAATACGTGCAGGCTAAGCGTTTCAATAAAGGTTGCCAGGCACAGCTAGTAAGTATGCACGTGGAATCCATGTGGCATAATATTTGTGATAAATAGATTACCCTAAATCAAGTCACTCAAATTTCGTAAAAAAACGTTAAGTGGTCTCTCTGGGTGAAGCAAACTGAAATTCATGCAACTTCAGAGTCAAGCCACATTTATATTTCATCTTTCAGTCTTGTACATACATGTTACTAAAAGCACTTTTGCCAAAACTTGCAAGTGAACTTCAGAATTAATGCATAAGTACATACCAATTCATGCTACACAGCAAATGGCTATAATTAAATCTATGCAAATTGATCTCACTATGTGTGTGGGGTCCTCCTGATTGGCATTTCATCAAGCAGGATGCCGGAGAGGGTACCTGCATACCAGGGCGTGCTGGAAGTGGGTGGTTGTGTTGTCCCATAGTGGACTTGGAACTGGAGGGGGGCGCAGGTGATGGTCCCCAGATTCCTGGGTTGGCGACGTGTTTTTCTCTCTCAGTTTGCAGTTGTTCTTCAGTAACAGAGTTGGGAGAATGGAGTGGTCGAGCTGTGAATTCCACGAAACCAGAGGTTCAAGATTTGGCCTGCACAGAAGGATTCATCTCATCACAATGCAAATTGAGAGAAAAAGAAACATCACAACAGATTACCTGTTCACGCAAAGATCTGATGTTTGCCATGTTTAGGCGGAAGGCATAACTGGCTTCGTCAACAGAATGGACACGGTGGGCTTGGAGTGCGGCTGTGGAGGTCTCGACGCTTCCACCTGTGTGGAGGTGGTCCGCAACAGTTTCAGGCGATCGATCTTATTATTTTATCTGCCGATGCAACTGGAGAGAAGGTGATACAGCTTCAGCTCGCCGATCTCCTTATCCCTTCTATATGAGAGACAGCTAACGAGCGAGGAGATATCAGACATATATAGAAGTGAGAATCACAATTAGCTTTCAGAATAGTAAATCCACATGCACATATGCATAAAAAAAGACTCTACATTAAGCTGCATTGCCATCGTTGATAGCAATATAGGGCTGTTCTCCTTATAAGTCGTCACGACAGTAAAATAGCAAAAAAAAAAAAAAACAGATTAATTCCTGTGCAATTTGATGTGGCAATGAAATATAGACCATGAATCTGGTTACTGACTGATCAAAGCCCCCTATCATAATTGACCATGATAAAGAGCGTAATGGGTGTACCTTCAATTTAGGGAAGGAGGTTGTGTGGGTGCGAAGCAGCTGTTCACGGTGATGTGGGAACAGATAATCGGTGGCGGCACCGTAGTCTGTGATGACGGCGAGGTTCCCCCTTGACAGCAGTCCTATACTGAAACAAATAATTGAGCACTCAACCATTCCAGAGTACTACCTGATGTAGATCAGAACAGCTAGGGATATTTGTTGGCTGCCGCGGAGGAGATTGGCGAGGCAGTCGTACGGACGCGGAAGGCGGCGGCGATGAGGATTAGGGCAGGGAGCGCGACGTCAGGGCGTGGACGCCGGGGTGGCGGGGTGCGGGCGGCATTGGCGGATGCCGTCGGATGTAAATCATCATATCATTCTCGATCGTTGGATGTGTCACATGATGAATGAGTAAAAACATTTATTGAACTTATAGGGTAGAAACATGCTAAAAATATACAAACTAATATAAAATCTCTTTTTCTCTCCTCTCCCCACTATCCACGTGACTGTTCCCCTCTCCTCTCACCACTGAGCTCACTCGACGGCAACAAATGCATCCTCTTCACGGTGATCACAAGCTTGCGTTGTCTCCCCTCCACCTCCATTTCCACTCGACGGTGACCATGAGCTCCCCGCTGTTATTGAATTGCTACTACCGCTTGTCCACTTTGGTAGATATCGCTGCCTTTTATTTCTCACTCACTATCTCTTTATAGTGCCAAGGACACCATAGACAGGTCAAGAAGGCCATGCTTGTGGTTGAGACCTTAGTAGTGGTTGAGTCCTCGCTTCAGATCCAATAGTGATTGCGGAGGCCATTGCAGCTTCAGCTCAGTCACCCCCACGCCTCAGATCTACTTGTTTCCCTTGCAAATTGGTCAAGCAATGGCAATAGCTCGTTTGAGGACACCGCCACCCTCCCCCCTTGCCCTCTTCTCATTTGTCGGCCATCACCGTGCTCCGTAGTGGTGCAGGCCAAGGTGGCGTGGGCTGGCGCAAACAAATCGAGACGGCTTTGGTAAAGGGGCCGAGACAGCGAGTGCAGATCCAATGGCGGGCCGGGCCTGGGTGGCATGTGCAAATCCGGTTACGAGGACAGCGGATTGAATGAGAAACTCCTAGCGACGGATAAGGGGAAGGGCGAGATAGATGGGAACCTATCGCAAAGATATGACTTCGCTAACACAAGGCTCCAAGCATGCCTTCGTGGTTCCCTGGATAGGGCAAGCCGAGCTCATCGTGCCATGCACAAGGCACAAATGACCTCATGTGCCCACCCGACCCCACCCTCTCTTTTCTCCATATCGATCAGCATATGGCG